ACCAATGAAGAAATTGAGAAATACATTCGAATTTGTTGACCGAGAAGAATCAAATCATGACAGCAATGCAGTTCCAAGATTGACAGTTAGAATACGGTATGGTACAGAGAATATAGCATGCACATTCAAGACATGCAGTAAACTCACATGAAAAACTAGAATGTTAAAATCAAAACCGCTGATGTCTTGCAATGAAGCCAAAAGCCAAAAGGGACGAGATTACCTGTTCTGTGACGCCGACGAAAAATTGCCCGTACTCGACTAGGTCCGCCACGAAATACAGTTCAGGGACGTTATGGGTTGAGAAGGATACGTTGAAGTAGAAACATATTAGGAAACTAAATGCTAGTTAAGATGAGGCTCGTAAAAGCTTGTCACGCACTCAGAATTATTTAAATTATAATTTAAATTGTGCATTCGATCCTTTGAAACAGTGGGTGAATACTGAGCAAATAGGTGCAAAGAAGCCAAAATACTAGAAGGCAATACGTTCATATCCTTCCTCGATAAAAACAATTGACGAAAATTGTCTGTTAAAACCCGAAACAAACAAACGCTAGTTGGTACAACAATTAATAGAAAACTAGCTTAGAGACCGGCGAAACGATGGACCCGCATGGTGTGGTGGTCAACGCGTTAGCTCCCGAAAAAGGTAATAGCGCGTTTGCTCTCCACTGCGGACACCTGCGCTCCAAAGTTTTGCAAATATGTCAGCATCAGTGTGGTTGTTTCACACGTAATATCCTGCCGCGAAAATTTGTAAGGGGCAGTAAGTAGAAAATTAACATTGTGTTATTTTCTTCGTATTTTTGTTGAGCAAACGCGAGGTGTTATTATTCCCTGTTCACGATTAAGCTGACGTTTCGGCGGATTTCGCCTTCCTCAGAGCCTGGAAAGGTCAAGTTGATAGCAATCTACTCGGCCAGACGCCTCCATAACCAAACAAAGAAACCCCAAACCATTGTGTTAGTTAACATTTCAATACCGGCATCAACAAACTTAATTTGCGATCAGTTCAGCGCTACCGCATGACCTCAAAACTTCACTATATTCTTCCGAAAACTTCATTTATGTATCCTCGCCGCTTCAATTCACAAGGAAACAGTTCGATTCTATTGGAGATTTACGAAGAGGCGATACACCCGTGATTCTTGCTTATACTATGGCACTTATTGGTGTTGCTTTATATCGCTAGTAACATAGATATTTTTTCTAATCTTTCTAATCGCTCTTAACCACTCAAGTGAAAGACAGATCTGATTGTCTGATTCAGATTTCGATGGAATGGTTGCCTCCAACACTGACAATTCATCGAAGAGAGATGCGCTGAATGATGCCTGAGCATTGATCTAACTACAAGCTCATAAAAGTTACAAACTTAATAAAGTAATGGCATAAATATGGCAAAGTAGACATATGCGAACATGCGTTTCAGATTCATTACTAATGCCTTCTTTCAGCTCTTCCAATACCATAGCGAAATTCATTCTGTATGAGTGTTAGGACAAATTTAGCAATAAAAAAAAGCAGTGCTTCATTTCTTTCCACTGCTTAAACGTTTCTACATTGTAGCTTGTATTATAGTAATAATAATAACTCTACTATCTTATGCTTAACACCAATCGAATTCTCAGTGAACCCCGCCGTTCGAAATAGCAGCATATTTTAAACAATGGAGCATCGTTTAACCTTGGTATGAACTGTCAATATTTTCTAGGATTACAATACGAACACGTGTTAAGTATGTAGTTCCATTCGACTAACGTCTCGAAGTTTTCGTCTTCATCAGTGGCGAAGGATCGGATCCGCGTTGACGGACCACAGCTGATCGTTAACGCGCTGTGGATGCTCGCTATCGCATCGAGTCGAATTCGATGGAGTGAGCACCATGCGAATGTGGATCTTCACTCGGTGGTGACTGTTCATACAGGACGGATGTTGGTCGATTCTTGCTATCCAACATGACCTGCATTTTGATGTGCAATACGCTCTGTAGTAGTTGGTCATGTACTAGCTAGCACAGCGCAAATCAGTTTTAGTCCGGTTTGAAAGGACACTGCCGAGTGAAGTTCCCCATTCGAGCAGTGTTCTTTCTATTGGATTCGACTTGATGTGATAACGAACACCCACAACACGAGGACAACCAATGTGGACCATCAACGCGAGTTAATCCATCTCTTAGGGAGACGAAGAAGTCGAAATGTTAGCCGAATAAAGCTTCGATACCAACTATATTTTGGCTTAGTAATCATAGGAAACAACAACAAAATTGTTAATAGAATTAATGGCAATACTACTTGCTTGAATACTTGGATGCTCCGCCCACCATTGTTGACGTTGTCAAAACATTATACCAGGCTCGCACACCAGTCCATAATAGAGCGCTAGGAAGACTGGCATCTGAAAGGTCACCACGGATCTTCGGATCTTTTAGACAGTGCTTTCTACAGACTTCTATAATTGGATGTGGGTTTATGCAGGAGTGTCCCTGTTGGAATCCTGTTTGTTCAGCTAGCTGTGCTTTATCCAAGGTCTCCGAAATGTGCTAAAGGGTAATCTTCGTGAACAGTTTGTACAGCTGCCTCAACAAGCATGTTAGATGGTAGTTACAAAAATCACATCGGTCACCATTCTTGGGTAGGACGGCCGTGTACGACGTCCCTCACTGGTCCGAGATTTTCTCTCTTTTAATGTAGGACGGCATATGGGTTACGAGAAGTATATGCAACTTGAGACTTCCATTCCTAAGGAGATCGACGGAATTATCGCATCCTGGAGCTGTGCAACTTTCTATCAAAACTCATGCTTGAGAGAGTAGAGCCCAGATGATTCTTCATCAGTAGGGATTTCAGGGTCTGTGACGGGGGTTGTGGCGCAGAAAAGATTAGTGCTGAACTTTTTCGTTATCAGCTCCAAATCATTGCAGAAAGTGGTTGTAGTCCCATATTGCTCATTAGGGAGGACAGCGGAACATTATACTCTCAAAGCTCTTGACGGCACTTCTTAAAGCTAGATCGCATTTGCATTGCTTGCAATAATCTTTTTGCCTACGCTGATGTTCCTCCTGAAAAGAACGTTGGCAGATGGATTTTATTAACAGCTGTGTTAGATATGTTCTTTATGAGATCTAGCCTAAGTTTCCTTCATTTTTCGAGCAGCACTATTCCAATAATAGTAACAAAAATAATTGCAATACTTGTCAAAAAAGATCACAAAACTGATTGAGAGAAAAGCAGAGCGGGGGCCTCATTGGAGCAATGGGTAACAAGTGATCCATTAGAAAGAGTAATCGCAGTTTCGATTCTATCCTGAAGTCCAAGTTCTGCAAATATCTCAGTATTATTGTTGTCCTACTTCGTATAATATACTGCCATAAAAAGTATGGATAGTAAAAGAAAGTTATGTAGTCTGCAGGTGGTTCGAAAAGTTTTGCAATGGGAATGCAAGCTTTCACGACGAAGAAAGTCGTGGGCTTCACCAGCTGATGTGACCCAACAGCATTTTACGAAACCGTGCGGAGGTAGAAACTGTAGCTGAACCTTCACACCGCTCCTCGAGAAGCAGGCAGAGAATCATCATTAGCCACTCACAATTGCCCATTATTTTAAAGACAGCGAAAACATGAGAAAGCTAGAAGAGTATGTGCAACTGCACAAAGTGAACCAATGACAAAGACATCAGCGGCATGAAGTCTGCCCTGTATCCTTTTTTCGATTTTCAGGATAGCTTATGGACCGAAATGAACCTCCGCCAATCCTAAAGCACATTTCGCGCCGAAAGAAGATTATGGTGAGTTCTTGATGAAGACGGACCGACTTCATCAAAAACAACAATACGGTTCTTTGCGAAAAAATCACAGCAGAGAACAAAGATTTCTGCGTGTGTATGTCGACCGCTGTCCAACAGAAGTCCAGTGCCTCTTCACGATAACATTCTTCCATGCGTTTCACAAGTGGCTGCGCATAAGTTGGACAGATAACGGATTCGACTACAAAATCCTACCTCACCTACAAAACTCATCCAACATCTCGTCAACCAACTTCCTTTGTGGAACATCACAACGACAATTACCAAGAAAAAAGGCTAGCACCTCACAGTTTCCGTCCAAACGCCATTACTGTTCACCAACTTAACAAAAGGATAGAAGGATAAAGCTCTCGACGTTGCTCGCTCGCTAAGGGATGCATCATGCATTCGACGTCATTAAGCATCGTTGGAAGTGACTGAATGCATAAACGGCCTTTACAATGACTCGCAGTGGCCTACTAACGTATGAACCACTGCTGCTATCCTCTCAGACAAGCCTGGTACCAATTTCGAGACAATGGAGAGATGGATGGCTTGGGGAGCCACGGGGGCGGGATCAATCCCATGTGTGAGCCGCAGAGCGCCTCCTATCACTGCGCCACACGCTCCTTCTAACATACTAGTATTGGCTGGTAACATATCATGTGAAATTAAGGAAATGGGTACTTCTACAATACCGTTCCAGGTAGCTTTGGCGCTGAAAAATTTAACGTCAACGACTTTCACCTTAGAAGTGCGCGTTTGCCTTCTGCGGACGGATTCTTTTTTTTCTGCTGCAATCCACATGACCATTTTCACAGGTACTGGACTAGGAATGATTCTATATCACAGATACCTTTTCCTAGGCGTTTGGGAAAAAAGAAACCGGAATAAGTGGCCTAACTCTGAATCTGCTGATCCGTTTTATCAATAGTTATTGCTCATCGACTATTTCGATCTGCTTCACACTGTGAATCTCGCCGTCGGCTCTAGACTCAATACTTATCACGTCGTTTCATCGGAATCTGTTTCATTTCGAGCGCTGAACAACAACTGCGGTGTCTAGATGCGAAGTCGAACGAGGAATAGTCGGACGACGGAGACGCAGGCGAAAAGCATTGGCTAGAGAAACTATTAGATAAAAGCGTGAGGAGGAATGTGATATAAAAGTCGGGCAAATAAAGTATAATAAATAGTTGGCGTTCACTACCGTCATGTCGATCATAGCGGCAGTCGCTCTTGTGTTCAGTTTCGCCTTCGCCACAGCCGATGATGTTTCTCAGGTCTCAATAGACATTCCGTTCATTGAAGCAGAAAAAGTGCTTGGATCCAGTGAGTTGTAAAGCACACTTTCAGAATGTGAAGAACAGGACAGCAGCAGGACAGTATGGTTACGACGATGCGTATTACGGACACAATTTCTACGACGACTTCGATTACAACATCTACAACTACATGCGCTTTCGTGATACACTCATAAACAGTATAGCATTTGCCGATGATATTTCGTTCTGAAATGCCACCTTGAGATCATTGTGGATCGTTTTCGACGCAATCCATTTCAGCTCATGTGTGCAGCATTGACGTATCCTACGCCGTTTATCCGCACAAGCATCATAGTTGGAAGAGATGTAAGATAATTTATTTTCTCATAAAGTTTTTATACAGTTATGACAAAAGTCACATTCGAATATGGTGGTGCATAGCGAAGTGAGTGGAGGGTTAGTCTGTAAATCACTGCTAACAGTCATTGACACTAGTAGAGTTTGTAAGAGCCCGACAGGAACTGCCTCCTCACAGCCAATGGTTATTCACGAATGATATGATGGTCCTATCGATGACTTTGTCTCGTGTGCGTTTCTTAATCATTTCATTGAAAAATTTTTGTAAATAAGCTTGTTAGAAGCCTTATTAAGACGTATGCGTGGAAATTACTGGGCATACCACCGCAATGATACTTAGATATTTGCAAAACCGGGACCTCACACAAGATTCAAACACACGATAAAGCTTTTCGGTGGCCCATTGTTACTCACTGCACCACGGACACCTTTGATTTGCTTTTCTGTCGGCCAGTTTTCGTTCAAATCTATTGAGAATACTATTCAGATCGTCATCCCGTTATTAAAGAGTGCTCAGATGCTTTCACTGGTGTATTCGACCGATCGAAAGTAAGGAGCTGATTTTCCCCGTGAACCAGCTTTCGAATCAGAAGCGTATGCACAAATGTAAACTCGTAAGACAATCGTAATTTCGAATAATTCGAGGTCGGGAACGGCTACTCCTCGACGAGCTGCGACAGATGCTGCAAGATAGCTGCTCGGCTGGACAGAATTACAGAGGTATAAAGTTGTATTCATGAAGTTAGTGTATGTGAAGACTGATGATAGGAACCTAAGTAGAACGTTTTTCAGTCTGAAGTCGTTGGCATGGTATTGATACTTCACAGAAAGGCGACGTGTGCTTGTTGCGCTCCGTATCGTCCGTACGAGACGGCACCACTCTACTACCCAACTTACCCACTCTATCAACCACTGTACCAACAACCACAGCAGCCTGCATCGTAATATCAACACGCTCCACTTATGTGTCCTAACATCACTCAACATACCAGTTACTGAACGATCGTGCTTCCAGATGAAAAATAAACCTCAGTTCAAATCCTATTTTGTTCATAATCGATATAGCCACGCAGTACTTTCTCAGAAGCGTGTGTTACGAGTTTAAGCTAAATTCGAACGATATCGTAATGACATGACTCATATCTCGTGATGGAATATTCACATCGCAATCGATTGCTTTTCAATCAAATACATCCACAATTGGGTGATAACCCACCACAGAGCCCAGTTCTGGCACAAAACTGTGTTATATTTTTAAAAAATATAGACACTCGAATTGTGTTGAAGATTTCGTTTCGCATTTCGTGGTGTACAAATAGGCACTTCATTATGAGCCCAAAGGAGAGCGATGTGAAAGGAGAAGTCTGAAGAGGACAGCGACGTTAAAATCAAGGGACATTGAAGGGTGGGACAGGAATATATGTATAAAGTGACAAGTTATCCAACCATATCTGCAGAGTTTCCAGTGAATAATTTCTTTGATTATTAAGGAAGCACAAAGATGCGAGTGGCACAGTGGTCGGAGCCGTCCTTTAAGACACACGGGGACGATCCGCGCCGTAGGCTTACCAAAGCATCCATCCACCTCTCCACAGTGGAAAAATTGGCACCAGACTTTTGTGGTAGGCTAGTAGCACTGACTCGATACATTGGTAGGCCAGCGGAGTCATTGTAAAGGCCAGATATGCATTCGATCACCTCCAACGATGCTTAATGAATTCGAAAACACAACACATCCCACAGGGATTGATCAACGTCAAGAGCTTTACCTTTCATCCTTTTACTTAGAAAACATGAAGTTGATAATAAGTCTTATTCGGCTAACGCTTTAATGTCTTCGTTTTCTTCAGATCCAGGGTAATTCTAGTCAATGGTCCACGGACGCTTGTCGTTGCTACATGGCTGTTCGTTGTCGTATCGAATAGAATCCAGTGAAATGCGACCACATATAAAGATGCATATAGAATCATGTTATCGAAACCATTTCCAAATCAACCAAATTAATAACATAGGTAATTCTACCTTAATTGCTGATTCGTCTTCTTAAATAACATGAGCATTAACATATTTGGGTATTCGTGCCTAGCACTCTGAATAATAAGTCTGTAATGGTAACTGTCTTAGCCATGATGAGCTTGTTAGAGCGGAGAGTATAGTGGCAGTAATGGAATTCGTTACATGGAAGACCGAACCTACTCAGGCTTTGGTTCGACGCGGCTTGGACACATCAATCCCTGCAGCGTCTGGAAATTGGTAAAAAATTTTATATGATACCGTAACATAATACCCTGCCATGAAAAATTGTAGCAGGCAGCAAATAAAAAGTTAACATTGTGATAGTTCCCAAGATCGACTTTCTCTTAACCTCGGCATTGGAATATGAATGTGTCGTTTTCTTGTTCAGCAATCGCGAGGTTTTTAAACAGCATACATTTACTTCCATAAAAACACAATACAATACAACGCTAGCTGACGTTTCGGCAGTATCGCCTTCTTCAGAGCCTGGAAGGGTATACTGATATACAATCTACTAGGCCAAACGCTTCAATAACACTTACAAGAAGACGAAGAACTCTCTGGCAATTACATAATCAACAACTTCTCGAAAAACCCACCGCTTTTTTCGTGACTTCCAATGAGGAAGTTTAGAACAGCTGATTATAGTCGCATGTGGTTGACGACTGCACCATCCCACATCAAAAATCGATGCGAACGTACGAGATCAGGTCGCGTATGATCTCCGGGCATTCGTCCCTGCTATTCATTGTAGGGCTTTTGGCATTGATCCAAAAAGCCTCAAGGAGTTTTCGCGCTGGTGTTTTGGACTCCTGTGCAAGGATATTGACTTTCACTTC